AAGAATATTTGTATAAATGCAAATTTTGTTTTGATTAGAGATTGTACCCGGGTAGACATATGACTATAATAAATTACCCAGATAACCAGGTAATCTAATAATACCCGGGTAGAGATTTTCTTGACGGGTACAATCTCTAGTTTGATATTTGCCAATTCATTACGAATATAAAGATCTGTGTCTTAAAATTGCCGAATGTGTTTTAAATATTTTAGTACTTGGTGATTTGCCAACTTTAATAATTACATTAAAATCCTCTTTATCACCAAGAAGTTCGATAATTATTTGAAAGTTTTTCAAAGAATTAATTTTCGTCCATATGAGATAATGTGCTTATATTTTGTATGAAATAAATAAATAAACTTTTCATAAATAAATATCCCAAAAATCTTAAAATTTACCCGTATAAGATGTCTTGAATTTTGCAAAATGTTATATGAGTGTTAAAATCTATAAGTGGTTTTCAGGACTTAACCCCGGAAGAATTTGTGCTGCTTTTAAGATTATGCAGGTTACCCGATGGGCAGGGTTGGCACATTTATCCATTGAGGCGAATGGAGAACAACTCCATTGACATTGCTCCATTGCTCCATTAAGAATAATTTTTGAATGGAGCCAATGGAAGCCAATTAACTCCATTGATATTACTCCATTGCTCCATTAGGTACGATTTCTGAATGAAGTCAATGGAAGCCAACAACTTCATTAAATAAGATGCAAGATATTTGTTACATCAAAAAAATTTTTTTTTTAATAGTAAATAATGAACAAAAATTTATTATTCCGGCTAACAAATTTTTGCTTTAAACTATCGTTTTTTCACAGATAAATCTGACAATCAGTTTATTAATAAGCTACATACTGTTCAATTATATTATGGATCAAATCATTAAACAGATTATAAATGGGGACAAGAGAATGTAACAAAATCCAAATAATAACTTTTGTTCTAAGGAGTATCGAACATATAATAAACAATTAATTCTCAACAAATTTCTAAACAGTCTAAAAAGATGATAGCTTTATTTTTTATATTTGAGGCTTTTAAAACAAATAATCTACATTAATATGAGCGCAATACAATCTTTTACCGTTTAACCAAACTATAATAAATACTAATATTCCATTTTCACTCATTTAAATTTATTATCTTCTCAATAAAGAAGACCTAAAACTGAAAGGTTTGGG